GGCAAATATCTTCTCTCATTTGGTAGGTTATCTTTTCATTTTGTTGATGGTTTCCTTTGCTGTGCAAAAATTTTTTAGTTTGATATAGTCTCATTTTTGTTTCCCTTGCCCAAGGAGATACATCAGAAAAAATATTACTAAGAGCTTTGTCCAAGTGTTTACTGCCTGTGTTTTCTTTTTAGGAGTTTTATGGTTTTGGGTATTATATTTAAGTCTTTAATCCAGTTTGAGTTTATTTTTGTATATGGTATAAGAAAGTGGTCTAGTTTAATTTTTTTGCATGTGTCCAGTTTCCCCAACACCGTTTATTGAAGAGACTGTCATTACACCATTGTATATTGTTGCCTCTTTTGTCATAGATTAATTGGCCATATAGGCTTGAGTCTGTTTTTGTGCCAGTATCATGCAGTCTGATTACTATAGCCTTGCAGTATAGTTTAATACCAGCGTGATACTTCCAACTTTGTTCTTTCTCAAGATTGCTTTGGCTATTTGGGGTCCTTTGTGGTTCCAGATGAGTTTTAGAATTATTTTTTCTAATGCTCTGAAAACTGCCATTGGTATTTTGATAGGGATTGCATTGAATCTATTGATTGCTTTGGGTAATGTGGACATTTTAACAATGTTAATTCTTCCTATCTATGAGTATGGTATATCCTCCCATTTATCTGTATCTTCACTTTCTTTCTTCAGTGTCTTATGGTTTTCTAGTGCAAGTCTTTTAATTCCTTGGTTCAGTATTCTACTTTTTTGATGCAATTGCAAATGAGATTGTTTTCTTAATTTCTCTTTCTTACAGCTTGTTATTGGTGCATAAAAAATGCAGCTGATTTCTTAATGTTAATTTTATATACTGCTACTTTACTGAATTCATTTATCAGTTTCAATCGTTCTTTGGTGGAATGTTTGGGGTTCTCTATATATATGTTATTCATAAATAATGACAGTTTTACTTTTTCCTTTCCAATTTGGATGCTTTCTATTTCTCTTCATTTTCTGACTGCTGTGGCTAAGACTTCCAATACTGTGTTGAATAAAAATGGTGATAGTGGACATCTTGTCTTGTTCCTGATCTTAAACAAAAAGCTTCCAGCTTTTTACCATTGAGCATGATGTTAGCTGTAGGTTCGTCATATGTGGCCTTTTTTATGTTGAGGTATGGTCCCTCTATCCACAATTTGCTGAGAGTTTTTATCAAAAATAGTTGTTGAATTCTGTCAAATGCTTTTCCAGCATCTATTGATATGATCATGATTTTAACCTTCATGTTATTTATGTGGTATACCACATTAATTGATTTGTAGATGTTGAACCAATCTTGCATTCCAGGAATTAATCCCATTTGGGTATGATAGATGATCTCATTTATGTATGCTGATTCGGTTTGCTAATGTTTTATTGAGGATTTTTACATCTGTGTTCAGGGATATTGGCCTATAATTTTCTTTTTTTGTGGTATCTTTGTCTTGTTTCTTTATCAGGGTAATACTGGACTCATCAAATGAGTTTGGTAGACTTTTTTCCTCTTCAGTTTTATGGCATAGTTTGAGAAGGATAAGTATTCTTTGAACGTTTGGTAAAATTTACCTGTGAAGCCATCTGATGCAGGACTTTTGTTTGTTGGGAGTTTTTTGATGAATGATTCAATTACGTTTATAATAATCAGTCTGTTTAGATTTTCTATTTCTTGATTCAGTCTTGTTAGATTGTATGTTTCTAGGAATTTATCCATTTCTTCCAAGTTGCCCAATTTGTTTACATATAATTATTTATAGCATTTTCTTATAATCCTTTGTATTTCTGTGGTGTTGGTTGTCACTTCTCTTTCATTTCCGATTTCATTTATTTTTCTTGATGAGTCTGGCTAAAAGTTTATCAGTTTTATCTTTTCAAAGACCAGCTCTTTGTTTCAGCTCTTTCTTTTTTATTGTTTAGTCTTTCACTTATTTCTGCTCTCATCTTTATTATTTTCATCCTTCTGCTCACTTTGGGCTTTGTTTACTGTTCTTTTTCTGGTTCCTTTAAGTTTAAAGTTGGATTGTTTATTTGAGATTTTTCTTGTTTATTGAGATAGGCCTCTGTTGCTATGAATTTCCCTCTTAGAACTCCTTTGGCTATGTCTCATAGATTTTTGGGAGGTCATTGTATTTTCATTTTCATTTCTCTTTAGGTGTCTTTTAATTTCCTCCTTGATCTCATAGTTAACCCATTTGTTGTTTAGTAGCATGTTATTAGCCTCCACATGTTTGTGTGTTTTTCAGTTTTCTTATAATTGATCTCTAATTTCATACCGTTTTGATCAGAGAAGATGCTTGATATAATTTCAGTCTTTATAAATTTATCGAGAGTTATTTTATGGCTTAACATGTGGTCTATCCTGAAAAATGTTCCATGAATTCTTGGGTGAAATGTTCTAAAAATATCAGTTAAGTCCATCTGGTATAATGTGTTATTTAAGGCTATTGTTTCCTTGTTGATTTTCTGTCTGATCTATCCATTGATGTCAGTTGCATATTTAAGTCCTCTGCTATTATTGTATTATTGTTGATCTCTCCCTTATGTCTGTTTATATTTGCTCTATATATTTAGGTGCTCCTATGATAGGAGTATAGATATTTACAAGAGTTATATCTTGTTATTAGATTGATCCCTTTATCATTATGAAATGCTCTTCTTTATCTTTTGTTACAGCCTTTGTTTTAAAGTCTGTTTTGTCTGATGTATGTATTGCTACACCAGCTTTTTTCTATCCCTTTCAATCTGTGTGACTTTCACTTGATAGTGGGACTCCTGTAGGCACCATATGCATGGGTCTTCTTTTTTTGTCCATTCCACCACCTTTTGTCTTTTAATTGGAGTGTTTTATCCATTTACATTTAAAATCGTTGTTGATATGGTATGTATTATAAAATGTTATTACCATTTTTTTAACTTTTTTTTATTGGTTTTGTAGTTCATCTCTTTTTCATTCTTTTGCTCTCCTTTCTTGTATGTATGTAACTTTTCCAAACTATTTTTTCAGTGTGTATTCCTAGTTGTTTGAGGTCACCGAAATTTCTGTTTGATTGTCTCTGCATTCAGCTTGTGACCTGAGAAAGATTTCCATAAATGTCTGACTCCAGATAGGGTAGTGGTGGTGATGAAGGATTCTGTCTCTTTAAATCTTCTGGTAGCTGTCACCAGCTGTGATGGAGGCCAGAATTAAGGCAGGCATCAGCACTAATCCCTCAGGAATCCACCAGACCAACGACAACACATCCCAAATTTTCGGAGGACAGAGTCCTCACTACCTGCCTTGGCACCAGCTAGCCACTGCCAGAACACAGGCTGCTGAGAAATGGAAATGGTAGCTACTTTTTTCTCACTTCAGAAAGATCAGCATCCTTTCCCTTCATTAAGCACTCCCCTACTTGTTATGAGTGTTCAAACTCTCCTGAGTCCTGTGTTACTTTTTTGGGGAAATGATACTTTGTAGTGTGCGGGCTGTGTACAAGGAGTGCTTATGATGATTGATTTGGTCATTGTTCCTAAGCCTTTTCATTGGACAGAGCTATTAAATATGTGTTTTGCTTTCCTTTTTTTTTTTTTTTTTTTAAGACAAAATATGTCATGATTTTATACTGATGCTTCCAGTTTAAATTCAAGCAACATCGTTTTTATTTCTTCAATCTCACAGCTGTGTCTCCTTTCTCCAATGTGAAAAGTCTCATCTCAATGACTTTAATATAGCTGCTAATTAGATATATTCCAAAATCACCTGTAAATGTATTAGAATACAAGCAGTATAATTCTGGAAATAAGTTAAGAAATTTTCCATACTTCGTCTTGTGGTTTACTCCTAAAGAACATTCATAACAGTTGATTTTATTATGATTCAGAGTAACTTAGGATTTCTTTGTATTATTAATTGGATGCACATTTAGGTTCATTTTGCTTTTCACTTTTACAAATTGATTTCTTTTTATTTTCAATATATACATGGATCAAAAGTAAAATATCTAAAACAGTATATTAAATACATATTCACATATATGTGTGTATACAAGTATATTCATATCCCCATCTGGCTTAGCTAAAGAACAGTTTACTACACATACTGTTTCTTGCCTTGCCTCTTTTTTTTTTTTTTTTTTAATATTCTCTATATTCTGGAAATCACTTCATATTAGTATTTAGAGCAGGTCTTCAGTTGTTTTTTCATCATCATGTTAATTGTGTGCATATACTGTGGTATTGTCAGTCATTGATGAACTGTTGTGTCGTGGGTGTGTGTGTGTGTGTACGTACGTGTGTGTCGGGGAGAATTTTTCTCCCCCGCCCTGTTACAGTTAGTATCAGTGAATAGCTGTGTGCATTTATTTTTTAAAACCTCTTTTTGGTCAGTGTATATTTGGGAAAGATTTCTAGAAGTGGGATTGATGAGAATATAGAAAATGTGTTTGTATTTTGTAAGATATTGCTAAATTTCCCTTTTTTAAGGGTTGTGCTGTTTTGTTTGCCCCGTCATCAGTGTATCAGAGTGCCTGTTTTGCCACAGACTTATCAGTAGACTGTTTTCAAGTTTTTGGACTTTGGCCAATTCTGTAATTAGAAATAATTTTTAATTGCCTTTATCTTATGAGCAAGGTTTAATATCTTTTCATGTTTAAGAGCCATTTGCCTTTTATTCCTGTGACTTCTGTTTTCTCTAATTCATTTTTATGTAGGATTCTTGGGTTTTTTTTTTTTTATCTCTTTTTATATATTAGAAATATTAGCCCCATCTGTGCTAAGTTGCAGTTTTACAGTTTTGTGGTTCTAGTTTATTTGTCGTGATATTTGCCATGCAGAGTTTCTTTAATTAATTAAAACTGTCATTTTCTTTTGCTTTACTGATTCTACAATAGGTAGACAATAGGTAGAAATAATATAGTGTGAAATGTTAAAAATGTTAATTATATATATTTATAAAAATATACACTTAGTCCTTTGTTATTGTAATGTGTTCCTCTTGCTTCTAGGCAAGGATAAAAGCCATCAATACATTTTTTGCTAAGAATGGTTATCGATTAATGGATTCTAGTTTGTATAGTCAGCCCATTCAAACTCAAGCACAGTATGCCTCACCAGTCTTTATGCAGCCTGTATATAATCCTCACCAACAGTACTCGGTCTATAGTATTGTGCCTCAGTCTTGGTCTCCAAATCCTGCACCTTACTTTGAAACACCACTGGTAAGTAAGATCCTTCTAGAATAATAAAGTTTTTCACTCAAGCTGAAATTTGAAAAAATCAGCTAGACTAAGAGTTCAGTTTTTTTTTTTAGTGTTGTATTGTTATTATGTTCTGATTTTTAAGTAATGATAATATCTAATCCCCCATAGCAAATGTACACATATGACTAAGGCCTAAGCTATTGTTCCCTATAATTTTATTTAGATTTTGCTGAGTTAGAGACTGGTTAATTCTTGAAAGATTTAAATTGCTTTCAGTTTTGTGAAACTTTTTCAGAGAAAAGTGCTCTTTATTAAGTAGTGAACTAAGATTCTTCATTCTGTAAACAAGTGATACTTAAAGTATTACAAAAGTAAATAAGTAAAATCTTTAAAATTATTTTTGTCTTATAAAGAAAGTGATGCTAGGTTAGGTCATCAGAAATTTCTTACGAACTTCACACCAGATTTTGCTTTTACAATTAATCGTTTTTAAACATTAAAATTTTCTTGTAGGCTCCCTTTCCCAATGGTAGTTTTGTGAATGGCTTTAATTCACCAGGATCTTATAAAACAAATGCTGCTGCTGTGACTATGGGTCGACCATTCCAAAAAAATCGGTAAGATAAAAGCATGGCTGGAATTTATTGTAAACAATTCCCAATACTTCTTATAGAGTTACTGTTTGCATAGCAATGCTTATTTGCAGACTCAATACATATCTATTCTTTATTAAAATTTTCTTTTAATAAAGAATAGAAAAAATATTTCATGGTAGCAACATAAGATCTGATGTCTGAATGCCATTTAATGTGTTAAATAGGTACCATTTTGAAGAACTAATATTTTTGAGGACAGAAATGTTACCTGAATTGAGTGATAAATGCTAGGAATGTGAATTATTTAGGATTTCTAAGAAATGACTTTTTGAAATGATTTCCACAAACTATAATGTAAAAAAGACAATAGCTAACACTTATTGGGTATTTAATGTCTAAAGCTCTGTTTTAGGGCTTTATATGTTTTATCACAGTTAATTTTCATAACTCTGTAAGCTAGATACAGTTATATGTATTTAAAAATTAGAAAATTGAAACATACAAGGTTAAGTATCATATCTACAGGCATGTAGCTAGTTGCTGGTAGAGCCAAGATTTGAGCCCAGGCAGTTTGACTCCAAAGCCTACCCTTAAAACATGATGTCCTGAACAAATTATTGAGAACTTTGGAACCTTTTGCTGTCATATAATATATTAATATGTCTCTTAAGTTTTATTCTTTGTATAAACGTCAACTGACAGTAATTTGGTATATATTATGACTTTTTAACAGAATATGAGTAACCAAAGCAAAAAGGGCTCATATAGTGGTTTAGATGTATTTAATAGTTTCTCATTTGTCATTTTTTGTTTGCTTATTTTGTAATCCTGGGTTTTGTTTTTGTTTTTATGAAATTATTTCTTTTCAGTGATTTTCTCTTACCAGATCTTGTTCTCCCAGTTGATTCTTTTTGCCAAGGAGACCATACAGGGTATGTTTTTCCAAGATGACTTCTAGGAATTTAATTCTTTTTTGTAAGGTTTTTCTAAAACATACTTCACTGGAGAAAGAAGCTTTATAGCAGAGGTCCCCAAACTCTGGGTCGCGGATCGGTCTGGTCCGTGGCCTGTTAGGAACCGGGCCATAACAGGAGGTAAGCAGTGGTCGAGCAAGCGAAGCTTCATCTCTATTTGCAGCTGCTCCCCAGTGCTAGCATCACCACCCCAGCTCCACCTCAGATCATCAGGCATTAGATTCTCTTAGGAGCACCTGTCCCTGGTGCCAAAAAAGTTGGGGACCACTGCTATTAAAAAATATTATTCTGTCTATGGCCATGCCACCTTGAACGTGCCTGCACTCGTCTGATCTCGGAAGCTAAGCAGGGTCGGGGCTGGTTAGTACTTGGATGGGAGACCACCTTGGAATACCAGGTGCTGTAGGCATTTAAAAAATTCCTATATATATATTCTTCTCAGTGGATTCTAGTAGCATTCATATGTACTACCCTCTAATAGTTAAAATTTTTGTATTCATGTTAACTGACACATTTGGTTAAAGCTTTTGAAGGTCATTTTTAAGTGTTAGGAAAATTTTACTACAGATACATTCTTATTGCTTTATGAAGTTTCAGATGAGTTCTCTTCATATCATAAGAATGGAAGATTTTTTTAAAACTAAAGTTTATTTGTGCTTTTCTAGATAACTCTTAGTTTGGTAATACACTAACAATTAACTGCAAAATTCAAATATTGCTAAGACATATGAGTTAGAAGTACAGTGAGCCTTAATTACACACATTGTCCTCAAACTCCCCTTCTTTTGTTCAAAAAAAGATTACTTCATTAGAGACAAGGATGTTATATCTGGAAAGACCAGATTGTTATAATGTAGTTTTAAGTCCTTTTTCAAATGAAGAAAGTGAAAGTTGAAGAGGACAAATATCTTGCTAGACTTGGAGGACTAGTTATTATTAACAGATCCGAGATTTAAAACATTTTCTTTTCCTCTACTATAGCTGGTAAAATTTTTTCTTAAAAATAATTCAATTAGAGCAAGTGACAGTTTACAGTTCTCCTTGTGAAGAGGTACAAGTTTTTCATGATTAGAAATAATAGCTTTATAAAAATATATATTGATTTCACATTTCTTTAAAGGGGTGAATTTTGCTTTAAATAGTTAAGTTCAGTAGACATCTTTGTTATGAGGTAGACTAACAGCAATTTTTAACTAAGAACTAAAAGTACTGATGTTCGCAGATGCTTGAGTTAAGAATGCATTAAGAGTGTACACAGTGCTCCTTTATTGTCACTTTTCTTTGTCTGCTGTGCTTTCTTGGTGGTAAGATTACAGTAAGAAAGGGGGTAAGGGGGTAAGATTACAGTAAGAAAGCCAAGAATGATAGTCAAGTCATCCTGGCTTTTATGGAGGTGTACCTGTGGTTTTGAATGAAGATATAGGGCCAGTTTATTATAATTTTGCTTGTTATTCAAACCTATTTGCGTACAATTCTTTTCCATGTTTGACTAATACAGGTTAATTTTTAGTTACAGAAATAGTACATGAATATTTCTTATAAAAATGCAAGTATTACAGATGAAACTAAAACAGCTTTGTTTCCTTCTTCTAAGAAGTGACCATTCCCAGAGCTTTCTTTTTGTTTATCAGTCAAGGAGAAAGTAACCTTTGAGAGCCCATTTGCAGTTTATTATATTATTAACCTTGTAACAGCCCGGTGATGATCACTAGACCTACTTAGAGAGAATAGGACTAACTTTCAAAAGTTTGGGCATTTTTCTACCTTTCATACTTTATCTTTCTGTCACTTTCTTTCTTTCTTTCTGTCTTTTATCACTTCTTTCTTTTGCCCAGACTTGAGATTGGAAGTCTCTCTCAGTGAAGGGTAAGATTATGAGATCTGAGGGCTGTTTAAACCTAATAACTTCTTCATTGAGTGTATTGAAATGCAGTGAGAAAATTTAGGTGAAAGTTTCTGAACAGATAATGTAAACAGCATATCTACTTAATGAGGCATTTTCAGATATGATGGATAATAAAAATATTTTGAAAATTACTTTGTGTTAGTTGACGTACTGTAATTTTGATTGCTATTAAAAATCTATTTTGTGGCAGAAAGTAATTAACTGGAAAAGTATCATCTCACATTAAACTCAGCCCCAACTTTGTAGTCTGAGTTTTATCTTTGTTTTAATAGTAGTAACCCAATTTTTTATGTTCTGTAAAGAGTAAAGTAGGATAGCTGGAGATGCTATTGGAATTAATGTTTAATTGTCAGGCTTATAATTATTATGAGGTTTTAAATCCTTATTCAGATAACTGGGAATTGGCAATGTGTTATAAATATTATGAATTTGTAATTATGAAAGTAGACTATAAAAATGGAGTATATAAACTGCAAGCAAGGGACCAGATGTAAATCTCATAATCCTTGTTTAATCTACAGAGCCAAGATCTTCAGTTGCATGGACTGTCTAAATCTTTTCACTATTGATTAAACTGCATTCTCTCACTTTTACTGTACCCTAGCTTCATCTGTTTACAAATTTTTAGAGAGTTGGGTACATGCACACATCATCCAAGATAAAAGCTTCCTTTGTTAGAAGTAGGTTTTTTGTTTTGTTTTTACCAGATTCCATACTTTAATTCTGAAGTCATGGCAGGCTACTAATTGCATTATATTTCTCTAGATTTTTGTCCTACATATGGATCTTTGAACAACAAATTTTATTCGGTGAGAGATGCTTAGTAAGAAGCTGGGATTTTTATATATTCCACCATTTCTTACTGTTTTTTTCATTATCACTTCCTGAAAGAGGCCTTTTAGATTTATTTTTCCTAATTTCCCATTATGAAAATTTAATACTAGAGATTATGGTATATCTATTTATGTATATATGTATATCTGTGCTTTATACATAAGATGAGTAAGATTAAGATTTTCCCCCTACCTCAAAGAACCAATTTTTACTCCCTTTGCAGGTGATGTTGCCCAATTGAGAATGCATGGCACAGAATCTTTAATAACCTTAAAGTCTGACTGATTTAGATGTGTCAAGACTGCAGCTTGTGTTAAAGAAAGTAGCTAAAATCCTAGTTGTATTCTGAGTATTGATATAGAAGTAGCTTTATCTTGAAGAACTTTGGATCTTCCCCCAAATCTCTCCAAACAACTTTTTAATGTAAATATTCTTTACCTTTTAAAAATAACACGTCTGGGATATAAAAGGGTTTATATTTTTATATAACAGTTTTATGTCTGTGGACAATCAGGATACAGCAGAAAGCAATTTTTAACTTGGTTTATTAAGAGTTTGTACCATTAAGAAGAAAGATTTTGTCTTGATTTTTCCTTTCATGTATATAATTTTATATTTCTTTTAGTGTAAAGCCTCATTTTAGGTCATCAAGTGGTTCAGAACACTCAACAGAGGGCTCTGTGTCATTGGGGGATGGACCATTAAACAGATCTGGTTCAAGGAACTTTCCAACTGAACGGCATAACTCTGTAGTAACAGGGCATCAGGAGCAAAGCTACCTTCCAAAAGAGACTCCCACTTTACAGATTGAACAGAATGGGGACTATGGTAGGGGAAGGTAAGGAAATATGGTATTAAATATGAAAATAAGGTATATGGAACATCTTTTTAGATTTAATTGTTAGTGTATGCTAAGTAAATACATTGTTATATAACATGGGTTAGTAGTTTTTTATAATTATTAAGAAATTTACAGCATCCATATAGAATATAGCTCTGAGTCAGAGATTTATAAAAGTTATTCTAAAGTTCTTTATAGTTCACTGAGGAAAGAATGACTTAGATAAAATTCCATCTTTATTATGATTTTAATTTCTTACAACTTCTAAACTATGGGAATGGAGTTATATATTGTCTACCCTGCCCAAACAAAACAAAAAAAAAATTAACCCTAGTATGTTTCTGGTGTGGAGAGAGTGCTTCTAATAAAAATGTGCCCAAATACTTCATGGTGGGGGTGGTAGTAGTTGAAGTTTTTGGTAGGTTAGCCCAGTATCCCTTCAGAAGAATAGATAATTGTCTTTTAACAATAATAGAGATTTAGAAAGTATAGATACTTAAAATAGAAATTCACACATCTATGATCGAGTGTATAAATTTGAAGAAACTTAACAAGTTCCTCCTACTGTCCTCTTTTTTGTTTGCCGTTGTTAAAAGGAGAACTCTTTTCAGAGGTCGAAGACGACGAGAAGATGACAGAATCTCAGTAAGTATTTTTTACCTTTGATTACTTTTGTTCAGTCCCTCCCCCCCTTTGTAATTTACTATGGCATTGACTGTGGCCTACCTTTTTGAGTTATTTTATTGATTATAGCATTCAGCAAAAGTAAATAGTGTCTGTGCTTGACCCTGAAATATAGACCCCTTCCACACCTACCCACTTCTTAAAGTACACATATAGTTAGGGATTTGACCTGTGTTGTTCATTTTTTTAAAAAATTACTTGAATACCTAATATTCACATGGTTTAAAAATAAAAAATATGAGTTTAGCTCTTGCTTTTCTAATGGACATTTTGTAGTTTGAATCTTTTGATCTTACAAACAGTGCTATTACAAACCATGCAGTGATAACCTTATACAACCATCATTTCCTATGTGTGCAATAATATTTGAAGGAGAATCTCTAGAATTGGGATTCCTGGATCACAATTAAATAAGTTGCTGCTAGATAGCTTTCTTATAGGGGTTGTGCCAATTTTCATGCCAACAAACAGTGAACAAAAGTTCATGTTTATCTATAGCCTTACAGAGTATATGATTTTTTGCCCATCTGATAGTGCATATTGTTCACTTTTAAAGCTCTGTCGGATGGTGCTGGAAACTGTTATACTATTTATTGTTATTTTGGGCCAGTGTTCTACCTACTGTTGGTTATTGTTCCACTAATCTTATAAAACCACCTAAGGAATATTTTTATGGTTCTAGACATGTTCTTACTTGAATATTAACTTACCTAGGTTCAAATTATTCATATTTTGATTTTTGTGGTTCATTAAGACTGCTATCTCTTAACTGGGACCAGAAGGAGTTGAGGAATAAAAATGATGTTGGAAGATATGGAGGTCTGAAGAAAACCCTTCCTAGAATTTACAGATATCTCATAAATGTGTAATATATGCTTATTTTACATGTATAAGTAGTGAATTTTATACATATAAGCAATATACATATAGTTTACTATTTGGTATACATATTACATAGATATAAGTATACATATATCACATCATGAGTAGTGAAAACATATACATTTTCAAAGAAGGAAATATATTACATTATAATAAGAAGTCCTTAAGTCATACTGTGAATGCTTTAAAATGGTGTTATTTTTCATTTCTAGCTTTCTATACCATGGGCAGCCATGAGACTTTAGGGAACAACTTTTTAAAGATATCATTATAGCAGTCCACATCAATCTTCAAGTTGCCCTGAACAATTGAGAAGAGAAGAGAGTTTAGGTTTCAAGTCTGATTAATATGTTGAAAATGGATTGATAACTGATGGTTGAGATGAAGGAAAAGGAGACAGGCATGCTTTCCAGTAGGAAGGGTAGAGGTGGAGGTGCCCTTGTGCAGGAGGGAGATATTAGCTAGAGATAAAATTTGGATTTGTAAGCTTATATACTTGGGGGACGTAGTAGCTTTGGCTGAAAAACGAGATTATTCATTATGTTGTTTGAACTATCCAAGCAAAATCTGAGTGGAGATGATTGCTAGGCAAGTGGATGTCTGGGTTTACGCTGAAGATCTGGGCTGAAAATATCTGAAGTGTACAATTTGATGATTTTTAGCAAAATTTCAGAGGCGTGCAGCCAAAAAGTCACAAAAAGTGAAAAAGATTGTTTTAAGGATTGCTCACATATATAAATATTAGTTGTAAGTCATGGAAAATGGATATCACACAGGGAGAGTATGGAAAGTGAGAAGTAGTAACCATAGAGAAATCAAAAACCATCAAAAGAAGTGGGCAAGGAGAGAAGAGCACATGATTGTCACGTCTGAGAATCTTGTGAAAAGGGTATCTCAGAAGCTAAGGGAGAAATGAGCTCCCCAAAGAAAGAATGTCTACTATGCCAAATGTTAGAGTGAAGTCAGGAAAAAGAGTCTGTCCGCTTTTGCGTTGTGGAACGCATTGTGACTTGTCAAAACAGTTTTAGTGGAGTGATGAGCACAGAGGTGAGGAAGTAGAGGGGGAGGTACAACGAGTGAGAGATTTGTCAGAGGGAAAGGGAAAGATGAGATTTTTTAAGGAAGGATATTCTCTCTTGAAACTATATGGAAGGAGAAAAGATGATTGCAAATTTATGTGAGGTAAGGTTTTTTGTTTTTATTTTTGTTATGAAAGGGGGTATAGCACATTTAGAAAGCAAAGAATGGTGGAGATTTATTAGAAGGTTTAGGAGTGTGGCAAAGTTTGCAAAAGAAACAGAAGGAGCTGGCTAAAGATAGGTCGGATTGATAAAGACTAATAAGAGCTCAACTAAGATGAGAAGCTAAGAATTTATAGGAGAACAATGCTGTGCATTAGGGTAGAGTTTGTTTTTTGAAGCTTTAAGCTTCTGTGGTACAGGATTAGAGAATGAGATAGGCATATGACCTGTTCTATAATTTGTGTGTTTTAGAGAACCCATACTTCAACAGCTGAAGTAAAGGCTCCAACACCAAAGTTTGACTTATTAGCCTCAAATTTTCCTCCTTTACCTGGGAGTTCATCAAGAATGCCAGGTGAACTCGTTTTGGAGAGTAGGATGTCTGATGTTGTTAAAGGTGTCTACAAAGAAAAGGTAAACACTGAAACATGCAATCTTTTACCTTATGGGACTGTATTAACCTATGTTTTCAGGGTTATTAAGTTCGTTTGCACTTAATTAGTACTTCTAACTTCTTCATGGGGTTTTCAGCATACTTTGAGTATTATAAAATGATTTATAATAAAACTACACAAGGTCAGTAGAATGTTTCTTCACTTTTGCATGTCTTTATATCAGTTGCTCAGTGTAATAGAACTGATTAATGCAAGCTGAATGGAAAGCATCATTTCCACTTAAGTGCCTGTACTTAACCAATGTTGTAAATTAATTCTAAGCTAGTTGGGTAAACTCAGCCTTTTAAATAATGGAGAGTTGATGTCAAAAGGTTAGGATACCCCATCCTACAAAATTTGAGTATAGACCTCTCCATATGCTAAAACCTAATGCCCCCACAAATTTTTCTCATTTTCTGCCTTTTTTTTCCCTAATTCAATATTTATTTTAATAGTACATGTCCACTGTATATCTAGGCTTATAATGAAAATAGTAATCCCCTGCAACCATTTTTCAACTTTAGCTATTTCTCCTGACGTTTATCCCTAATTAACATGGTACTTCATATCTAGAATACCATCAATTATAAGATGCCCCGTTTTTTTTAGTATCTCTAAATTGCCAGTTAGACTATGACATGCCATCATTTATAAGTCACATCTCAGTATTACATATTTTTTTCATAACTGAGACTTACAGTATACTGTTAGTATTTCTCTTTTTTTGTACTTTCGGTGGCCTGCTGCATAGTTGTATTCCTGCGACTTCCCTTCGCCATCATTCTGAGAGTTCCTTTATTCTCTTTAGTTGGATTCCCTCTTTTTCTTACTTTTGTTTTACTTTCCCATATTGGTGGGTCACAAGTTCCCAACCTTCCTGAATATAAGTGGCTTTTAGTATAAATTTCTTGAGATCTTGCATTCTGTAAATGTTTTTCTGTTGTTGCACTTGATTTTTACCTTATCTCTAATGAATTCGCTATTAGAAATCATTTTCCCTTGAAATTTTGAAGGCGTTTCTCAGTCTTATTAAAAAAATTATGCAATATTGTAGTTATTTTATCAGTTCGAAGGTAGACATTTTTTCATGTTTTCCACCTTTGAAAATCAGGCTTTCTTAAAAGTGATTGTAGTTAAGTGGCAGTGTTTTTTCTTAGTAGTATATAAAATAATGGTGTTTTACAATTGATGTCTACTTGGAATTGAATGAGATATGATATACACGTACAGATATTTTTAAAGAATAATAAAGTATACTTCCCTTTTTAATCCCACTCACAATCGTGGACTGTAAACATCACCAGTATCTTAGCAGTGCCATGTGTCCCTCCTTATTTAGTTCTTCCTATTCCCCTTTTCTCCTCCCGAGAGATAAACATTATCCTGATATTGCTGTAATAATTTTATTGCTTTTCTTTATAGTTTTACCATTCTGGGTTAGGAAACTTTTTTCTGTAACGAGCCAGATAGTAAATATTCTAGGTTTTGTGAGCCACATACTGTTACATATTCTTTGTTTTTAGACCCTTTAACCCATTTACTGTTTGCCCCAAGGATACTCGCCTGCTACCCTTGCATCAGCAGCGTTTACCCCGTTAATTTTCCAGATTACAGTCTTAACCTCACTCCCAAAGTTTGCCACGAAATATCTGGCTTTTATTATTATTTTCATATCACTCTAGTATATTGATAGTCTTTGGAAACAAATAACATCATTCTACTTATAACATTCTGTTTTCAATAGTGGTATTTCCATTTATAAAATATAGTAATTCTCGATTGCTGAAAATGTCAAATCCTAGAAAACGCAGCATTCCTATGCATGATGTTAAATGAACACTGACAGCGAGCTGCACTATTTTTTTCTAAATGATAAAAAGGTTACAAACTATAAACCATTCTTAGCTCATAGGCCATACCATCATAGGTCACAGGCTGAATTTGGCCAGCAGGTCTTGGTTTACCAACCACTAACCTAAACATATATTGTTGATTGTGCTTGTTTTTGAACCTTCAGAAATGGAATTATACAATATGTATTCTTCTTTTACTTTTTTCCTTCTGTATTGTATGAAATTCATCACTGTTGATATGGATGACTAGTTCATTTTGCACTGTCATGTAATATCCTATTGTAAGAATATAACATTCATTCTACTGAACATTGAGCTGTTTTTTTTGTTGACCATTATAAGCGATGCTGCTATGAATGTTCACACTTTCTGTTTATGTGAGCAAGAATGTTTTTAGGGTATAAACTACGTATATGTACATATATCCTATTCCCAAGGTGTACACATGGTGGCATTTTAAAAAAAATTACTGTTGGGATTAAAGTATTTTTTCATGTTTATTGACCATTGGAGTTTCGTTTTTTATAAAGAGTCTTTCAAGAATTTGGTACTTTTTTATTGGGTCATCTGTATCTTACAGATTCATGAAATTTTTTATATATTCTAGAGACTAATCCTTCGTCAGTTTTGTATATTGTTTTCAGTCTTTAGTATTTGTGGGTGAAAAAAAGTTCTTAATTTTAATATGGTTATATTTATCAGTCTGTCTTTTTATGGTTTGTTCTTTTTATACCTTGCTTAGGAAATAACCTAGCTTCCAGAGATTCTTTTCAGAAACTTATGGTTTTGATTCCTGATCCTTCTATGACCTGTTTGGTTTCTTTTTTTCCCCCTCTCTGGAGGCTTTTAGGATATTTTATTTATCCCTAGTGTTCTGTGAAATTTCAGTGATATGTCTTGCTATGGCTCTTTTCATTGATTTTAATTTCTAGGGCCCTTTTTTTCTTTTAATTGTGTTAAAATACACATAGCATAAAATTTACCATCTTCACCATTATTAAGAGTGTACCCTTCAGTAGTGTTAAATACATTCACTTTATTGGGCAACCAATCTCATAACTCTTTTCATCTTGCAAAACTAAAACGTTCTACCCATTAAACAGCAACTCCCTTTCTCCCTTCCCTCAGCCCCTGGCAACGACAATTCTGCTTTGCCTCTATGAATTTGACTGCTCTAGGTACCCCATATAAGTGGAATCATAGTGTTTTGTCTTTTTGTAACTTTTATTTTACTTAGCATTTGTGCTCAAGATTCATCTATTGTTGTAGTATGTCAGTACTTCATTCCTTTCATTGTGCAATAATATTCCATTGTATGTATATACAGTAGAACATCCTTATCTTCAGTTTCTCTTTCCATGGTTTTTGTTACCTGTGGCAACCACAGTCCAAAAAATTAAATGGAAAATTCCAAAAATAAACAATTTGTAAGTTTTAAATTGCATGACAGCGTGCCTGGGATATGAATCATCCCTTTGTCTAGCGTAATACACTGTATGGGCTACCCGGCCACCATTAGTCACTCTTGGTTATCAAATCCACTGTTATAGTGTTGCGGTACTTGTGTTTAAGTAACTCTTATTTTACTTAATAATGGCGCCAAAGCACAAGAGTAGTGATGCTGGATATGCCAAAGAGAAGCCATGCATTGTTTCCTTTAAGTGAGATGGTGCGTGTACTAATATTTTGAGAGACAGACCAAATTCCAAAACTTTTATTACAGTATATTATTATAATTGTTCTATTTTGTTATTAATTATTCTTATTAATTTCTTACTGGGCCTAATTTATAAATTAAACTTTATCATAGGTATGTATATATAGGAAAAATCATAGTATATGTAGGGTTCAGTACTGTCTGCAGTTTCAAGCATCCACTGGGGGTTCTTGAAACATATCCTCTGTGGGTCAGGGAAGACTACTGTTTCACATTTTGTTAATCCATTCACCAGTTGAGGAACATTTAGGTTCCCATTTTCTGGCTATTACGAATAATGCTATTATAAACATTCGTGTATAGGTTTTTGTGCAGACATGTATTTTCTCTTGGGTGTGTACCCAAGAATAGAATTGCTAAGTTTTATAATAACTCTTTGTTTAACTTTTTGAGGAACTGCCAGACTATTTTCCAAAATGGCTGCACCATTTTACATTGCCCTCAATGTATGAGAGTTCCATATTATCACTAACATTTGGTATTGTCTGTCTTATTGATTCTAGCCATCCTAGTGAGTGTGAAGTGGCTTCTCATTGTAGTTTTGATTTGCATTTCTCTAAGTTTTTAATAATGAGCATCTTTTCATATATACTTATTGGCCATTTGTATATCTTATTTGGAGAAGTGTCTAAGTGTTAAAAAATTTATTTTTCAGTTACAGTTGACATTCAATATTATATTAGTTTTGGGTATATGGCATAATGGTTAGACATTTATGTATCTTATGAAGTGATTCCCACAATAAGTCTAGTACCCACCTAACACCATTACAAAGTTATTACAATATATTGACTGTGTTCCCTATGCTGTACTTAACTATAAGTGCAATTTTGAAATGTGTTTTTACTTTAAGGATAATGAAGAGTTGAGAGTTACTTGCCCAGTGCCTGCAGAGGATGAGCAGACAGACTGTACCTCTGCCCAGCAACTCAATATAAGTAGCAGTCCTCCATGTACCACTGAGCCTCCTGCATTAAGGTACAGGTTTCAGTATAGAAAATCTTCCACATTATGATTACTTTTTCTTCTGATCATTTGCTCACATGTTTCTGTGTGCTATACTAAGTCTAATGTCAAGCTCTTTTTTTCCTTAGCACAACTCAGCAAGAAAAGGATCTAATAGAGGATTCCACTGTTCAGAAGGATGTTCTCAGCCAGACAACTATATCAGTTTCTTCCCCAAGTATTGCAAAGCCATCAAGGACAAATACTGCTTCACCATGTAATAGTAACATAAATGCAGCTGTAACTGTGGCTCTACAGGTAACTTGATGGATTTAGTTTATGTGAGAAAAATATATATAAGTTAAATAATAAGGAATTATTTTTTTCCTGTAACTCTTTGCTAGAGCAGGCTCATCTGGGGCTGTCGTCATCCAAAAGAAGCTAAAGGAATTTAAAGTCACCATGAAGAAATGGGAAATTTTAGCCATGTTGAGGGAGTGAAGAAGTTATTATTTATTATTTCTTTTCATTGCTTTTTTTTCTGATCATATTATGGTTAAGTGAAGCTCTTATCCAGATTATGTCATATGTTTCATTTCTGGGCTAGTGTCAAAAGGCCTTGAGTCTCTTGATATTTTTTGTATGATACTTAACAAGTCTATGGAACCCATGAGGGGGCCCCTCTCATTTTTATTCAATTTCTAGAATCATTTTTTTAATAATAATTTTTTATTTTTCAGTTATAGTTGGCATACAATAGTATATTAGTTTCAGGTGTATAACATAGTGATTAGATAGATCTATAAAACTCACAAAGTGATCACCCAAATAATTCTAATGCCCCTCTAACACCATACAGTAATTAAAATATTATTGGCTATATTCTTTATGCTATACTTTCTATCTACATGACTATTAGTAACTACCAGTTTGTACTTCTTAATCTCCCCGCTTTCCACCAAATCACTTAACCCCCTTCCCATCTGGTAACCATCAAAATGTTCTCTTTACCTATGAGTTTGTTTCTGTTCGTTTGTTTGTTTCATTCTTTAGATTCCACAAATCCATGCAATCATGTGGCTTCTGTCTTCCTATCTGACTTAACTCCACTCAGCACACTACATTCCAGGTCCATCATACAATGTCTTTCCCCATGCCCCTACATTTAGTCTGTAGTGTCTTCTAATCTAAAGCAAGTTTCTTGTAGACAGCACATGTAGAGATCTTGTTTTCTTATCGGTTCAGGCACCCTCTATATTGAGTACTTGAGCACTTAATTCTTTTTCATTTGAAGTACTTGTTAATAGTTATGTAGTTATTTCTATTCTTTATTCATATTTTTGCTACATATTTTTTCTTCTTTCTAAAGAAGTTCGTCCAACATTTCCTGTAATGCTGGCTTGATGATGCTGCTTTAGCTTTTTCTTGTCTGGGAAACTCTTTATCTGTCCTTCGACTCTAAATTCTAGCTTCGCTGGATAGGGTAATCTTGGTTGTAGATCCTGGGTTTTAATCACTTTGAGTATTTTGTGCCAAGCCCTTCTGTCCTGCAGAGTTTCTTTCGAGAAATCAGCTGCCAGTCTTATGGGAGCTCCCTTGTTAGTAAATAACTGCTTTTTTCTTGCTGCTTTTAAGATTCTCTCTTTGTATTTAACCTTTGAGATTTTAATTATGATGTGTCTTGGTGTGGGACTCTTTGGGTTCATCTCTTTTGAGACTCTCTGAACTTCCTGGAGTTGTATGTCTATTTCCTTCACCAGTTTAGGGAAGTTTTCCATCATTATTTCTTCAAATAGGTTTTCAAATTCTTGCTCTTTTCCTCCTTCTGGTATCCCTATAAGGTGAATGTTGTTACGTTTGATATTATCCCATAGGATCCTTATATTATCTTCATTATTTTGGATTCTTTTTTCTTGTTGCCATTCTGATTGGTGTCCTCTGCTACTCCATCCTCTATAATGGTGATTCAATCCTCCCCGCTTCCTCTACTATGTTGATTCCCTTTAATGTACTCTTCATCTCAGATATTATATTCTTCATTTCTAACTTGACTCCCTTTTATAATTTCCATCTCTATTTTTATGTTTGTTTGTTTGTTTGTTTTTTTAATCTCTCTGTTAAAGTTTTCAATGAGTTTATCTATTCTTCCCCTAAGTTCCTTGGGCATCCTTATAACCAGTGTTTTGAACTCTGCATCTGATATATTGCTTGTCTCATTTTGGTGAAATTTTTTTCAAAGCTTTGTTCTGTTCTTTAAGTGGGACATATTTCTTTGTCTCCCCATTTTGGCTGCCTCCCCTGTGTCTGTTTCTGTGTATTGGGTAGGGCCCTTAAGTCTCCCAGTCCCAGTAGAGTAATTTTATGTAGTAGGTGTGCAATGGGGCCCCTTGGCACAGACCTGAGAGGGGTCCAGCTGCAGGCCAAGTTCACCTTCAGCCTGTGTACCCCCAGGGCCACCTGATAATAGTCACCAAGCAATCTATATATGGCTGCCACCCGTGCTAGGCTTATAGGTGCCTCAAGGGGTCAAGTCCAAAACCGAGGCTGGCTGCTACTAGTGGGGCTGCTCAGCAAGAGGTGCCGGGCACGCTGAAGCCAGATGCTGCCGCTTTGGATTTTGTGAGCCTTTGAGAGATTTTATGAAAGTTCGAAGCAGGTGTCAAGATTGTGTGGATTAAAATCACTGGAAGCAGCTTGGGTGGGCCCACAAGTTGGGTGAGGCGGAGTCTCAGGGAATCCCCTGGGCGGAGTGACCTCTGTTACCCAGATTAATGGCGCCTTTGTCTTCAAGATGGGATCAGGGAGGGCTCATCAGGGAGAGCTCAACAAAGGAACAATGGCTTCTGCCTGTACCTCTGTCAGGGAGCAGATTGCCCCTTTACCTCTTCCCCGAAGCCTGACCGCTCAGCGCCCCTCAAGCAGCTGCCACAGCACTGGAGTTCAGAGTGAATGAGTCTGTTAGTAAGGCCGGGCATGGGCCCTTTAGGAAGACGGTCTCTGCTTTCCGCAGCCCACTGTCTCACTCAGCCACAACCTCTGCCACAGGTTGTGGAAACTTCTCTTCCTGGCACTGGAACCCTGATCTGGGGAACCCAGTGTGTGACTGGGACCCCTCTCTCCTCAGGTGGGGAAGGGGGCTTTATAGCTAAGATAGCCGTCCTAATCATCACCACTCGCAGTTGTGGGACCAGCCCGTTTTGTGTCTCTGCTCCGCCTGTTTTGAGGTGACCTGTTGTTTGAGGTCACCTAGTTTTAGGGCTTCCATTCAGCCACACTTCTGGTAACTCCACATACTGGTTGCTCTGTAGTTTTGTTATAATTTTGGTGTGGTTGCTGAAGGAGGTGTGTACAGCTTTTACCTTCTATGCCATCTTGAGTCCTAGCCCTCAGAATCATTTTTATAATTAGGAAAATACAGAAAAGCAGGGGGAAAAAACTTACCTATAATCCTGGAAACAACCTAAATGTCTAACTTACCTATAAGTTACCTATAATTTACCTATAATCCTTTCATTCATTGATACCACTAGTAGCATTTTGGTACATCTCTATTTTTTCTAGGTTAAGAACATTTTTTCTTGTCATTTAACAATAACAGTAATAATAGAATATCAGCTACCAATTATTGGATGCTTACTATCTGCCAGGACCACTGCTAAAGACTTATTACATACTTTATCCCATTTTCATGTCACCCCTATTCTTTTTCATATGAGGTAATTAATTAGTCTTCTATTAATACATGATTGGTTTCCAGCTGCTCTGCTGAGGTTCTTGTGGAATCCTTCTAGGGGTTCTTTGTAGCCAGGGAAGAGAGAGTGAAACCATTTTATTTCATCATATGGCTGGACCATTATTAATTTAATCTGTCCTTATTATACATTTAGGATGTTTCCAGTTTTTTTTATCACAACAATGTGACATGAACATCTTTCACATAAATTCATCAAGTGAAATTATTGTTTCATACATGTTTTTTTTTTAAATCATTTTCAACAAATGTATTTCTTTAAAGATTGTACTGATATCCTTTAATAGCATTGTATATGAGAGTGCCTATTGCCCTTTCATAGAGGATAACTTCCCGATTTTCTTGTGGTTAATACTATTCTTTTGTACTTTGTTACTTAGAGAATGTCCACCATAAATTTTTTTTGTTATACTCATTTTAAAGGAACCCCGAAAGCTAAGTTATGCTGAAGTGTGCCAGAAGCCCCCTAAAGAGCCATCTCCAGTTCCTGTGCAACCGCTACGAGAACTTCGATCCAATGTAGTGTCTCCTACCAAAAATGAAGAGAATGGAGCTCCTGAGAAGTCCATTGAGAAACCACATGAGAAGCCAGAAGCAAGGGCTAGTAAGGATTATTCTGGCTTCCGAGGCAATACCATTCCCAGGGGAGCAGCTGGAAAAATCAGGGAACAGAGACGCCAGTTTGGCCATAGGGCTATACCTCAGGGAGTGACTCGACGTAATGGCAAAGAGCAATATGTGCCACCCAGATCACCAAAGTAAAAAAACAAAAACTATTCAAAAACTTCTCTCTCTTCCCATTAAACTGTAGCCGCCGTGGCTGTATTGAACTGTTTTGGAGGGGAGTGGGTAGCCAGGAAGGAAACAGGAGAAAGTATGTCTTTAAATCATTATGGATTTTGGAGTTATAAGCAGTAGAATCCCAAAATCCATCTCTAAAGTAATTTTAAAATGCTGGAGGATTCCAATCAGTATAAATATATATATATGTATACATATATAAAAATATAATTTTTCTATTTTTGTTTTTGATTTTAATTTGCAGAGATCTTCTGCCTGGAATCAATTTTGAGGGTTCAGATTTAGCTTGGGAAAAAAAACATATTACACATCCTTCAGTATAAGAGATGAGGGAGTGAGAGAAAATATTTTTTGAAGAAGCATTTCTGTAAAATTAGATATTACTTTTTTTAATCTATTTAAAGTTTGGCTTGGAGAATGCCATCTCTGCCTATATGGCCTTGTGTTGCAAAGCAGATCAGTGGCTGGGGTGCCTGTTGTGTGAGTGTGTGCAAGAGTGATTGGAGCCAAATCTGTTGTCATGTTAGCAAATGATTTGAAAACTGAATGTAATACATACTTGAGTAGATTTTTTTTTCCAGTTTGAAATGTAGTCTCTTTTTGACCTTACTAATATTTCATTCAACATGAAGTTGTTAAACTCTGATTGTACTTGGAGATGTGACTACCAATCAGTTTGATACTCAAGGAAAGAAGGGGGTTATTAAAAAAATTGAAAATCTGTCTTAGAGCTGAATGGATAGGTCAAATGGACTTTAGAGGTTTAAACAGCCCTGTGATTTTTTTCCCCCTAAAATAGGAAACTATTTATTTTTGTTACTGCATTTGTTACTCTCTGTTCTTTGACTACCATCCCCCTAAAGCAAAATAACCAACCACCTACATAATTGTATGTTTCTAACTGCCTCAACCAGTCTAATCAAATCATATAACTGTTCTAAATTTCTGAATTGAACGGTGAAGTATTTATTCTTCTGTTCATGTATTTAGAACTTTAGATCCCAGAATGATAGGGCAGACTGACCCTACAGTAATTTATTTGTGTTAGTGTTAAAGATGAAACATTGTAATTGACTCTCTTAAAGTGTTAAATAGTATAGAAGTAAAAATAATTTTTAAAGGCTTAATTTGGGGGCAACTTTTTCTATTTACAATGTATTTATCATCTGCCTTCCTTTCCTTTCTCAAAAAAAAAGTAATAAGTAAATAAATACAGTTTGGAATTCACAAACAACCAGCAAGTCATGAGATTTTTAAGTTAAGGTAAGAGAGATAGTTGAAGAAAATTAATACATAGTTTTTCAGTGAATAAAGTTATAGCTCTCATATTAAATAGGCAAGTTTACATGCTGGTGTTTAGAAAATGGCTATAAAATATTAAAAACCATGTTGCATTAATCTGTTTTAAGTCATACCATTTTCGGAGTTCTGTGTAAGGTGGGGTTTGTTTTCTTTTTAGGGATAGTTTGTAATAGTAGTAACTGTCCCTCATGTTAGTGAATTACATATGTACAAATTGAAACTGTAAATTGTGAACACTGGAAAGCACCATTGTGACATAGAGTAAACATCTTAGTAATATATTAAAATGAATGTAAATGGAGGTTAAAATTACATTACTGTGAAACTCATCTTCCAACTCTAAGTTAAGCTTTGGAGATTTGTATTAGTAGGTAACTGTTCAAAGCTTTGAAAACACTGCACATTTCTGTACAAGCCAGAATTATCATTTCTTTGTAACTTATTCAGCTTGGCAACTGCTTTTGATTTGGTGGATTGATAACGTGGTATAATATATTTAAGTAGTTTGAAACTATTTGTTTCTACACACTATTTTTTTAAATCATCTACTAGGTGAAACATACAATTAAACTGCCTGTGCTAAAATTTGGGGGAAGTTTAGGTCCTTTAAAAAAAGTATTAATAATCATTGACTACATCTATGATAAAAGTGCTTATTTTGGTTTACTTAGATAATGCTGCAGTTGGTGGAAATGATAAACATTTAAAGTGTTAACACTCTGTGAATGCATTGGATTTAAGAGAATAAACATTTTATAAAAATCACTTGGCAAGGATTATAAACTTAATTATTGCACTTAAAACGAAACATGACTTTTTTTACAATGTGTCACAGAAGTGGGCTTGTATTACTTGTATGCTTGTGTGACTTACCCAACTTTTAAAAACTATTCTACTTGAAACACAAGAAGAGTTTTCTTTTTGAAGAAAGTGCTTTTGCCCAAAATATTATTGAAAGTAGAAAATTTCATATAAAATATATTGTTTTAATTTAATTTGCCTCATTACAGCTAATAACTCTCATTTTGATGGGGTGTACAGAGAAGAATAAATATGTGTGTGTACATAAAATATATATATTCACAGTATGTATTTAGCATTTATTTTATTACAGCAGATTTAAGGTTTGTATGTAAATGATGTTTATGAAACTTGGCTTTTATTCCCCCAGCATTACTCTGTAACTGATGAAGATTGGGCATTCATTGGAGTTCAGCTATTTATTTGGTTTTTTAGAAGGAGGAATTTAAATGTCAATTTTTTCTCTTCATCCTTATGGCTTAACACTTTCTTGGGTTGTTGGAGGCTGAAAGTAGATAGAAATGATACTGAGTGTATGGTATAGTGATTTTTCTGCCATAGTTCTTATTGCATGAAGAGAACAAGTCACACAGGTTCATCACCTTACACTCCATAGAGAAGATTTATAGAGATATTGCAAAATCTATCTCCATTTTCTATCCTGATAATTAAGGTTTTCATGATATCTAGGGCCTGTCTCTAATCGGAGTAACTACATTTTTGCACACATACACTGGCATTCAAAAGAATGATCGTTTTTCAACTGGATTTTGGAAGAAGATAAAATCTTTCAGAGATAATGGGTTTTTATTGTCATCTTATGTGCTCAGTATGCATGTGATCAAATGACATGCAGATTTTAAATTTATTTTTGGTTCCTAAAATTAAGGTAGCTTGAATATTGTTTCACATTCCTTTTTCTTTTTAAATAACGAGGTTGGCTTTGCAAAAGGCTTAAATGATGAAATATTAGCATCTGCTGTAATAGAAAATAGTATTTAAAAGTTACTGAATACTTTCTCTGGTTTTATTAGTTATGGCCTTAATATTTAGTCTTTTAGCTTACATATCCTCTGGTTTTACTTTGACACAGTCGAGCAGCACTAGGGTTAAGTCTTTGATATTTATGTTGGCCACGTATATTAACCATATTTTAAAAGTATCCATTTTGTTAGTTTTTACAGAAAAGGTAAAATGCAAGAGAGCACTATGTTCCTTTTGAGAGATTTTTATAAATTCTTAACTATGCGATGGGGTTTTTTTCCTAATTTTTTATATTTCTTACAATTTGGTGGCTGTTAATTTAACTTTAGGCTTTTTGGTATATACTAATTTAGCTAGTCTCAGCTTCCAAGAAGATACATCGACATTTCAGTTTTCATTAGCTGAATGAAGACATTTTAAGAAGTTGAAAGAAAATTTTTCTAGTTGAGAATAAATTCTTTCAAAATTCATCTGATTATTAAATAATATAAAAGTTTTTTAGCTAAGAACTTCTTATGAATTGCTGAATAGATGGTTCCTAAAAGTACAACTCAGATACCAACAGGCTGTGCTTAAAATAAAATGGTTTTATTTTCAGTTTTGCAGCACAAAACACTCATTAGCATATAATTCAAAGAAACATCCACACTGATTTTTTTTTTTCCCCTGATTCCGGTGTCCTTTGAGCGACATCTCTTAGATGTTCCGGTTGATGGTCAGAACCAATTACCTGGCTTCTGTTTTGTCCATTGCTTAGGTTTGTTCCTGTTGTCAAAACCGCCTCCCCCCACCCCCGCAAAATGGTGTGACACATGCTCATGCATATTATGTTAAAATGAGTACATCCTTGTATTTGTATTTTTGTTTTCAACATTGCCAAGGTGCTATGGGAAATTAAAGTAACAAAAATTAGAAAAAAATAAAATTATTTAAAAGCAGGACTGGTTTCCTTTTCTCCAGGTGGTTTATGTCTAATGACTACTTGTATTTACTTTTTGATAATTTTATGTTTCCCACTCTCTAGTTCCATCACTATTCCTGTCTCAGCTGGTTTTTTATTTTGTTTTGGGGTGGGGAGAGGAGGTAGGATAGATTTCATCCGTAAAGTGAGGGCAGAGAGCTAGAAGATTCAGCTTTATGATTCTGGAGTTTTCTTGTTATTTTTGTATTAGAAACAGTTGAAGGAGAAAAAATCACAGGGTGATGTGCAGCTTAAGGATTTTGCCTTCATTGGGCAGATTCTGACCTTGACTTGGTTATGTAAATTCTTGGCTTTTTAAACTTTTATTTCTGAGAGGAAACCACTAGGTTACCCTTACCTTTTCAGCCACATCTTTGCTTTGATGGTATCAAACCCTAAAGTTAAAAGGCTTTGGTAGCCTTTTAAAGGGAAAGTTCACTGGGAAATTTAAATGGGTCTATTAAACTTTTTAAAACTATGATAAGGCAAAAATGGAAAAGCTGAGTCTCTAGCTTTTTAACAGCTGTTATCTGCAAATTAATGTGGCAGCTCAACTTTAATAAATACAGTAGTCCCCCCTTTTCTGCAGTTTTGCTTTTTGAGTTAAAATGGATACATATTTCAAGGGTCTCATCACTGAGATACCTTATATATTTATGCCTTGTTAGAAAATATTAACCTAGGTATGTCTCCAAGTTTAGATTTCAATGATATGCCTGGAAGTTTTTATGAAAAGTTTAACATTACTACTAAAGAATTGTGAATTTCCTTAAAAGTCTCAAGACTATCAAGAATGTCTTTCGTTTGTGTGAGGGTTTAAAGGAATTGGGTTGTCTTTACTTTCTTCATAATGCTCCCAAATAAGGACCTTCTTTTTCTTATGTGGGAAGGAGCAAGCTAGCTAAATGTTACCTTTTAAAATTCATTTTGCCAGCTCTTGTGCATATATTTGAAGTTGTACTTCTGTTTCCTTCGTGCACCTGCTGTATCGAACTTAATGAACTGTAGTAGGATTTCAGCCTCCCTTTAATATTATGTAGGCTATTATCTTTACACACTTGTATTTTGAATGATGCTTTTAAGTTCTAATTTTGCTTTTTTTGCATTCCAAATTCTGCCTATACAAGTAACTGACCATAACTTGTCAAAACTGAGGGTACTGACTTAGTATTAAAGCTAATCATGATAGGCGAAGTGGTCATTCAACCAGTATTTATTGCACACTACATTCCAGGCAGTGTGCTAGGCAGCAAAAATAAGATTCCTGCCCTTATGGTGCTTAGCATGAAATAGTCATATAATTAACTGCAAAATTAGACCAGTAGTAAATATGAAAGCTGGAATTAGAATCTATGCTGTTGGAGTGGAGGATGATTCAGGGATAGAATGCTTCCTTGAGAAAGAAGGAGGAATGATAATTTAGGTGAGCAGGAGGCGGTGTTCCAGAGTAAGAAACAACTTGCACATACCACTTTGTAATGTACTGGAAGAATTGTAAGGTCCTGTAGATACAGCATGGGGAACATCGTTCCATCTTCCAAACTGGAAAAGTAACCAGGCTCTTGGGATTTAAAATTCGTGCATTATGGAGAACAAGATGGGAGACCAGTTGGGTTACACCTGATGTATAGTTGGAGCAAAGTGGAATATTTGAGAAGCTTTTAGGAACAAAGATTTGAATGGATTAGATATGCAGGAAGAGAGGAAGGTATCAAAATGATTTCATGAATTTGTGGCTTTGTGGGACTGGATGAAAGTTTGTGCCATTCATCACAATTGGATACATTGGCAAATGTGGGGAGGGAAATATGAGTGCAGTACTAAAAATCATTCAAGTTCAAAAGACATAATTCATCTCTAGCACAGGGTGGTTTTCATTAGATTCTTTGAGCTAATTTTAAAAGTGTTAGGGACAGGGCTAAAAATTGTTTTATATATGCCCCTATTTCTCTAAATTGTTACCTTAAATCCAATCATCCTCTCTCCCACCTGGGCAGTCTCCAGGCCACTAACTATTGTACTAAGCACTTAACATACGATTTTATTCAAGTGCTCACCAGTAAGGTCTGTGACACAGTACTGGAGAGGAATAAAAAGCATAAAGCTTGTCATGACTTTATTACCTCTAAACATTTTTCTATCTGTAGATCCCGAAAAGACACAATTCATGCCCACCTTAGCAAACTAATTGTGTCCTAGAAATAATGTAACACTCATAAACATGGCTTGAAAGTTGTAGAATTTGCATAACAAACTTTCTACTTTCTTGAATGAAATTATAGGCTCCATAGCTATTGCCAACTCTAGTACTAATCTTGGTGTATTTAAGCAAGTCATTAAATTCTCTCAGCTTGTTTACTTATCTGCAAAATTAGGGAGAAACTTCAAAGGTTTCAGATGTAAACATATAAAATTAAATTTTAAAGGACTGTTGTATCTTACCACTAACTTATTCTCTTGTGGGTGTATTGCTATTTGTACCGCATTCCATTTATCGTCAGTATTTAAACCTTCAGAAAATAACTCGCCATGACCTTAATTGTTCCATTTATGACCATTTTGATCTTAACATACCTATTCTAAAGGTATTAGGTGCACAGGATGCTAAAATTATGAAATTCCTGCCCTTAATAATTTTAGAGCTGAGCATTATAAGTCAAAATACTGCTATAAAGTGTTTTGAATGCTTTGATAGTATTAGGAATACACAGAAAATAGTGGTCAGCCCTCCTTGTGATTAAATACTATCATGTATCGCCTGAATGAACTGGAACAGCTATGGTGTCAAAGGAAATGTTGAAAGAACAAGATAAATTGACATGTAGCATTTGACACCTTTTATTTATAGTTTAAAAATTACTATATATTTATGGATACATCTAGTAAGAGTATAAAAATGTACTAATATGTTTGAGAATGATACCAGCTGCAAGATGGTGGATATCTTTTATTTTTTTTTGTTGATAAATGGGTTTAATGATACATTGCTCTTCACACAGATGACTACAGAGACAAACTAGAATCCAGGAACATACTACTATGCAACACAGACCAATTAGCCAGATCTAAGATAAACTGGCTTCTTAAAACTACCTTGTAAACATCACAGCACTTCTATCCGAAATGACCCTAATCTCATGAAAACAGCCATTGTAGGGGAACCAGAAACCTAGCTATGTGGTCAAAAGTAAAAACCAAAAGAAAAATAGCAATTCAGCGGGTATTTGGTGAAAGCAGGGAATCTGGTGCCCTTCACTGTGCTGCTTTGGTTTTATTCTTGCTCTTTTTGTCCCTCTTCTTCAGCCCATCCATGTTAGCTCTCAGGTCTGAATAAGCCATTTGAAACTTATTCACTTCTTTGGAGCTCACCACAGTGCTGATCTTCTTTTTCCCATCAGTATCTCTTAACAGACACTTGTCTAAGGATTCAAAGCCCTCTGCAGAACCTTTCCTTGGAATGGGTTTAGTTCTAATATCATACTTCTTCAGGGTGATGAACACGCTGCCTGACAAACAGCACTTCTGAAAGAGCCTAGTTAGCTCTGTCAGGAACTGCTCGCTCTTGAACAGCACTATCCCTGTTCTGCTGGATCTGCTTGGTCAGCATAAGACCCATGCAATTGGAGCCAGAAGTTCCGCCTTTGGATACCTTTTAAATAACCATCTTTGGAGATGGAGGAAAGAAGGTAAATAACAGCAGGGAAGCATGTATAGGGCCCTTGAATGTATCTATAATGTCTTTAAAGTTCTGAAGCAGAAATCAGTGGTGAGATGGGTACACAGGTATAATTCTCTACACTTAGAAACGTTTTCAAATAAAAAAATTTAAAAAATATAAAAAATAGAGGAAAGGGAGTTCCCAAACGATACCAGCATTAAATGTTTTGACAAGAAGCAGGAGAAAAAATGTTAAGGAAATTAAAGGAGAAATTCCAATATAGAGAGATACTCAAGATAAATGCCACATAAGTGAGATGACTGAAGAGACAATAAATTTGACAATTGGGCAGTTACTTGTAACCATTACCAAATTGATTCAACAGACTATGAGTGGAAGCCTGATAATAGAGGGTAGAAAGAGATTGGATGATAATTATAGGGGAACTAGTGGCCTACTTTAAATGTCAAGTGGCGGAGCTGGATCCAAGTGCATAATCTCATGCTTGCCCCTATCTGTCTATCTGTCCCTTTCCCTCTCCTCTTTCTCTCCCACTTGTTCCTATCATGCCCAGTCTACTAGCTCTGTGTTGGTTTCTTTCTCAAGTGGGCTCTCTCCATGTGACAGAAAAGACTGACCAGTAGCAGTTATATGTTTACATGGTCCTTGCATCAACTTCCAGATGAGGAAAGAGTCTCTTCCCCAATGTGCTATATAGCAAATCTTTCATACAACAGGATTAATCACCCTTAGGAGTTCTGGGCTTTTATGATCTCATAGCTTATGATCCCCAGAGATCAAGAGACATGACACTGCCAGCATCTATATATCTAGTTATTTCTTATCGATTATGGCTAAAATTCTATCCTTGATTATTGGTGAGTTTTTAAATCTATTTGAAAGTTTATTAGCCATTTATTTGTTACTTATTTTTTAGGTTGTCATTTTTTGTTGTTTATTAGTAGGGCTTTTAAAAAGTATTCTGGATATTTCATTGTCAAATATATGGAAATGTATTCTTATCCATAATTTTTATTTAAAAAATTATTTTAGCTTAAACAACAGAAATTTATTCTCTCACAGTTCTGGAGGCTAGAAATCCAAAATCAAGGTGCATCAGGACCATGCTCCATCTGAGACTCTGAGGTTGAATCCTTCCTGGCCTCTTCTTGCTTCTGGGGGTGGCTGGCATCCTCGGGATTCTTCAGCGTGCAGCTGCATCACTCTACTCTCTGCCTGCTGTCATATGGCCTTCTCTTTGTGTGTCCCTGTGTCTTCACTTAATCTTCTTCCCCCATGTCTCTCTCTCTTTTTGTAAGGACATCAGTTATAGTTGGTTAAGGGTCCACCCTGCTCCAGTATGACCTCATATTAACTAGCTACATCTACTATGATCCTGTTTCCAGAAAGGTCTCATTCTATTCTTATCCATAATTAAAAAAATTTTTTAACTTCCGTATGGTGTTTTATATATTTAATTGTTTCCGAGGTCATATATATCAACCTTTTCCAATACACCTCTCTTAGGAAAGCCTTCACTATCCTGAAGTAAAATATTTTTTCTTCTAGTTTCATCTAATACTCTAATAACTTTGGTTTTTAAATTTTAGCTTTTAAGTATATTCAGTTTTTTGGGTACATTATAAAAAGTATTTAATTTTTCTGAATAGTTATTTGTTTGAAAATGATTGTGAATACATAATCTTTTCTCTCTGATGTGATAATGAAATCTGATTCCATTAAGGAAATCCCTGGTTATACATGAGTCTGTTTCTTCAATATTTATCAAATTCCTTATATCTATTCCTGCACTAATAACATCCCTGTTTTAACTCCTATAGCTTTTAGTATATTTCATAATTTGAAAGGGCAAATTGCTCCCATGGTTGTTTTTGTTTAGAATGGCTATTCTTGCAAATTTTTTCCTTTTAATATGAATTTTAGAAGTACCTAATAAATTTTATTTAAAAATTTTGTTGGGGCTTTTTGAGCCACGCTTCTCTTGCTCAGGCCCACTTCCATGTCTGGAAGTATACTTTCTCTTCTAATAAAGCTTTTCTTTTCAGCTTAAAAAAAAAAAAAAAAAAAACTGTTTGGTTTTTACTGATACTGCATAGGAAATTTTGGAAGAATTGACACTACAAAAAATTATTGAGTCTTGCCACTAAAGACCATGCATGTTTATCTTCTCTTTCATCATTTAGACTTAATTTTTATATAGATTAATTAGTCTTTCTTCATGACTTATTGGTTTTGAGGCTTGTAGCTTTTTAGCATGTTTTCATATCTGGTCAGGCAAATCTCCCTTTTAAGTTTTTTATTTTCAATTTTTCTTGACTTTTCTTGAACATTTTAACTTTTACTTAAACTTTAGAATCAGCTTGTCAAGTTGTGATTTAAAAAATATTTTTGGTAAAAATGGCATTGATTTTTATAAATAAATTTTTGGAGTTTTGACGTCTATGATATTGAGACTATCTGGGAATAGTAACTATTATTAAAGTAATCATCATCATCTTATTTTCCCATTTAGTTCTTCTTTTATATCATTCAGTTATAGCTATTACAGTTTTCTCCATTTCAGTCTTGTACATTTTTTAAATTAATTTTTTAAATGGTGACATTGGTCTTGTAAATTTCTTGTTAGGTTTATTACCACTTAGGTTTTGCTGTGAATGGACTTTTCTTTCAATTGATCATTGCTGTAAGACAGGAAGGTTATTTATTTTTACATGTTGATAATCTTAAGCCACTTTATAAAAGCTTTCATAATAATTCTGGTAGAACTAGACTGTAACCTCTGTGAAAGTATGGGCCTTCAAACACTGCATCCTTCGTACCTAGACAGGGTCTAACATGTTACATTAACTCAGTATGTTTGAATGAATGAATGATGGTATTTTAGTTTATTTTCTTTGATTTCTGGGTAGACAATATTTCCAGTTTTTCAACTATTATAATTATGAGACTTTAAATTTGCTCTGTAGGTTCATGTTTTGCAGTACCCTTTTTCTTACATATACATCGATATTAGATAAAATAGAAAATGTAAGATTACAAAGCTATGATTTTATGCAGAAATAAGAAATATTCCTCTAATTAAAAAGTTTGGCTATAGAAAAATTTAAATATATATAAAAGTAGAATAGTATAATCAACCTGTATATTCCCATTACCCAACTTCCATCATGATCTCAGCCAATATTATTTCATCTATACACCGATCTTTTTCCCACCCCACCCCCAATGGATTACTATGAAACAAATCTCAGAATATAATTTAACCCATATATTTGAGTATGTTTTCCCTTTAAAAAGTATTCTTTTAAAGTTATATAATCACATTGCTATTACCATATATAAAATTATAACAATAATTCCTAACTAACGTTTAAATTTTCTTGATTCTCATAAAATTTTTTTCTTTTAATATCTCTGATTTATAGGCTCCACTTCCATCTGTTTATTTTCTTGGTAATTCATTTATGATCTATGAATTTTAAATGCAATAAAAACATAAAGCAGTGAGCATAGAACCAAAGCTTTTATCCTGTGGAATTTGGGGGACAAGAACAGGCAAAATAGGCTGAGTTTGGATCCCGCAGGGTAATGGAAACTAAAATTATTCTGTGTGAAAGAAGTGGAATCGAGGACCAGGCTCACTGCTTGAGACTGGGGGGTCTGTAGTCAGACTCGAAAAAGAAAAAAAAAAAAAAAAAAAAAAAAAAAAAACCAACCCAAAAAACCCACATGGCCAATAACCTGCTGCCACCTGAAAAGAAGTCTTCAGTGAAGCTATGAGCATGAGAAAGTGGAAAGAAGGTATCATGGGCTTGAGAAAGGAAGCTGAATCAAACCCTTTTCTCTAAGCTGGGTTACTACACTGGCTATATCACCAATATTATAGTGTAAGTACTTTGAATAACCAATTTAAGACATGGTACTAAACTGGGTCTTCAGGAGTCTGGACAAAAGCAAATAAGGCTAATCGAGAGTGGCCAAAGACTATTAGGGTGAGGCTCGTTCACAAGAAAAGAGCCTATAATCTAATTTTCCAAAACACATCACATACAATCAGAATGGCAGAATATGAACCTCTGTAAAGCCACTCCTCCATAAAAGCTAGTTTATTCTATTTTTCTACTGCCTGCCAGCATTTCACTTAAAATCATAGTGAGAAAAGATACCTTTCTTTTTAAAGCTCACCTCAACCTCTCCCAGTAACATGTCACACAACACACTTAGGAAAACCTTCTTCCTAATGTTTCCCCAAACCTTCCTAAATTGAAGAGACCCTATTATATGCTCCTTCTGTTTCCCGCAAGGTTTCAGATTGACAAGAACAAAAAATCTCCACATTAATAATGTGATATTGGCTCATCTAACACAAAACTTTTTTGTTTGTGGAATGTCTTCTAGTTTACACAGGCTTTCTTATATGGTTATAATTGTAGGTAGGTTTTATGTAACCTAAATTTCCCCACTATTCAGTTTAAGGATATAAGTGAGAGCTTATTAACACGAATGCAAAGATTTTGTTGCTTCTGCCTATAGGCAAGAGACTCCCTAACAAGATCCCCCACTTCTTCACCCTGTTCTTCACTCAACTCAGGCATCTTTGAATATTCTCAGGAGGTAGATCATTCCAGGCTGCTGCTTTCTGCCACCACCTTTAGGAATCTGTGGCTGTCCCTCTGTTCCAAGCTTTTGTTTGCCTGTCTTGCCACTGCCACTGTCTTCTGAAAGTATAATTATCCAAGAACCTAGCAGAGTTCTCAGGATTTTCCTCACATGTCTCCCTTATCAGAGAGAGAGATCTTTCCCAGAAGTCTGCTTCTTTTCCCCTCAAGACTTCCCTTTATGTCTCTTTAGCCGGGATGAGGTGATATGCTAATGACTTAGCAGCAAGGAGGCTGACAATCTTGTATTTTCAGCTTCTATGGTGGTAGGAGGGCTCTAGACAAAATAGAAGAGGAAATGGACTTTGGGTAGACAGCTTGCAGCCTCTGCCACAGCTCACTTAATTGTGGCAAACTTTTATTCCATTATACACAATTTAAAATATGTATATAATTCACTTACATGAAATCTCATCCCCTCCCTCAAAGAGAGGTAACATCATGTAGCTATCTCCTCCAGGAGTAAGTCCAGGACCTCTGGGATTATGCAATCTTCTTCTGGTCTGGAGATGAGTCCTCACGGACCAGCAATCTGGAGTTACAAAAGTTAACTGTCTCCAACACATCCAATGGTTCTCAGAGGGTGGTTCGCAAAACAGTGGCATCAATGTCACCATGAAGCTAGTTACAAATTAAATTATTGGGCCACGTCCAAAACCTATGAAATCAGACACTCGAGTTGGACCCAGTAATTTGTGTTTTAATAACCTTTCCACGTGGTTCTGATACAAAAAACAATGTTGGACCCAGTAATTTGTGTTTTAATAACCTTTCCACGTGGTTCTGATACAAAAAACAATGCTAGACAGGAAAATGTAAGTAAAATAATACTCCCATTCCAAAAAGGAAATATGCAATAGACACCGTTCCTGAGCAGATAGCAACCCCTCCCCCGCTTTTTTTGGTAAGCTTTTGTTGTTTAACAACCGACGAAACTTAGCAGTTTATATTGGCAAAGATTTTTTGCTCACGTGTGTTGGCCATTTAGGCTGCGCTCACACTTGTGGACCTATGATCAAGGGGCAACATATGGCCTCACTCATATACTTTGCAGTTCTTTGGGTTTTGCCTGGAGCAATGAAGGTAGCTGGGCCATATCTCTCCTCATCTTATAGTCTAGCTCTTGATCACAATACGGTGGTCTCAGATTCCAAAAGCAGGAAGAGAGGGAGCAAGCCCCAATGCATAAGCACTTTCCAAGTCTCTGTGTCAGGTTTGCTATGGTCTCATTGGCCAAAACAAGTCATATGATCAAAAATGTATAAGAGGGGTCTACCTAAGGGTAGTGAATAGAAGTTATTGCAGCCTTTTTGTAAACAATCTACGGTACTGCCTGATGGAACTACCTTGGCAAATGGAGTAAATTTGTTAGCTTGTCTAGCAGCCTCTGGGCCTGATCTCTGGGGGTGTTTTAGTTATCCATTGTCCTTCTCTGGCATACTTAATATAGGCATTAAGTGTATGTTGCAGAACTTTGGCAGCTGTTTTCCTTTGGTGGAAGTTGGGAATTTAGGGATTGCTTTAAGTGTTGAACAATTAGAAGTACTTAAAGCCAGGTTCGGCATATGTTTGGCAATACATTTGCTGCAAAAAGGTAGTGGGCTTCTGGATTATTTAACCCAGTCAATTTCATGTGATAATGAAGCAGATGAAAATTGCGTCTAAACCTGTGCTGTCCAATATGGTAGCCACTAGCCACACATAGTTATTGAACACTTGAAATGTAGCTAGTCTGAATTGAGATGTGCTGTTTCTTTTTACGTTTTAAAGTAGCTGCTGGAATATTTAACATCACGCATGTAGTTCACATGGTATTTCTACTGGACAGCACTGATTACTGGTAAAGCCTGAGAACTTCTGCCTCACAGCTGTTGTCCTCCTATTTAGCAAATACTTCTTTAGTTTAAAGGTCTGTTCCTTGAGATGATTTGAAATTAATGACCCTAGGGAGAGAATACCACACTAAGTCTAAGTTTTTTTTTTTTCTGCTAGGCTTGTATTCTTTACTCAGTTTAGCCCCTTTGAATAACAAAAACTGATGAAAGGTCCTGAGGTACTTCAGAGATCTGGAGCCCCAATCTCTTCAATTTTATCACCTGTTAAATCGCTCACATTCTTGATTCTGTTTATTCTAGCTTTTACTTGGGAATGGAAGAGGTTGGCTTCCCCAAACCACAAAACTCCATTCTGTCATCCCTGTTAATCTGGATTAAAGCCTGAAAAGCTTCTAAGCAAAGCCAAATGCTCCCCACCTGTGTCCTTGGTTGGAACGTCTTCAGACTGTTTATATCTTTTATGAATTTACTGAAAGCCACATCGCATAGCTCACACCCCAAATCCTAAATTTTTCTGATCATTTCCCCTAGCAAAACAACCCTTGCTATAACGGGACCTGTGTCATACTCGACAATTTGCGACCACACTCAGCCATTTCATATTTGGCTCACCTGTAATATCCCATTTTTGGTAACAAATTCAGTATTGGATGAGAAGCTTTCGGTTGTAAATAGCAGAATATTGAACTAAAAAATGGTTTAAACCTATTTTCTCATATAACAAGGAGAAGCTCAATATAGTTGGTTCCATGATTTGTTATTTCAGCAGACCAAGTCTGTCAAGGTCTAAGTGATGTCTCTGTACTTTCCTTAATTTTCTTTTATGGTTTTAAGATGACTGCTGGTGCACTGAGTAGGACAATATCTAAAGACAGGAAGTAAAAGCAGCAGTTTCTCCTTGCGCATCTCCCATCAGGGAGGAAAATCCTCCCCAGATGCTCTCTTTCCAATAGTTCCTTCAGTGGATCACATACCTGTCAAGGAAGGTGGGAAAATATTTGGCATATCCAGCCTTACTAGGAGTTCTTGTGGTCTGCTGACAAGGGAAAAGGGCTATTGGGAGGATAAGCAAGACCACTGGCTAAGGCTGTGTAACAAACCACCCCAAACTTAGTGGCATAAAAGAATGACCATTTTATTATGCTCACAGGCATTAGGACAGGGCACAACAGGGATAGGCTGTCTTTGTTCCACATTGTTTGGGACCTCAGCTAGGAAGACTAGAATGTCTGGGGGCTGGAGTCGTCTGGGGGTTTCTTCATCCTGGCCTATGATGACTAGAATGCTGGGACCACTGGGCAGAGCACCTCACATGGGCTTCTATGTGGCAGCTCCCTGCATGGCTGCTGGGTTCTCAGAGTGTCCTGAGAGAAGGGTCCAGAGAGAGGTTCTCTGGAGATGGAGCATTCCAAGAGAACCAGAAGAAGCTGTGTGGCCTTCTAGAACATAGCCTTGGAAGTCACATAGTATCACTTCTGCCATATTCTATTGGTCAGAGCAGTCAGAAACCCATTCAGATTCAGGGGAGGAGACAAGAACCTTGCTTTTTGATGAAAGGAATGTTAATAAATTTGCGGCCTTAAGGGAAAAAAAAAACCTGCAACAGTCCTCCTGTAAAACAGAAAACATACACACATATATTCCCACAAATTCTCCTTATATTGTTGCGGTTAAAAGGAAATTTCAAAGTTTATCCTCAATGAGACATGATGTCACATTCTTCCTTTTCTCAACTTAAAAAAATTTTTTCTTCCAGCCCAGGAATGATATAAAACACTGTTCAGAACTCTTAGTGGATAACAAATCATGGAACCAACTATATGGAGCTTCTCCTATCAGAATCCCCCAAATTCTGAAGGGGGGTTTTGGCATTAAAAAAAGATTCAATATTATTAAATAATGAATATGAACGACGATTTAAAACAACTGTTCAGTAGCTCCTGTTTAAAGCACACAAATATTTGGATCCTCTTTATATTGAATTAAAATATTAAAATTTTGGAATACCTATTGAGTCACACAATGAAGAGGATAAAAAAGATAAAGACTAAGTTCCTCTCTTGCAAGTAGTTAGAAGACTAGGCAGGAGGACCTGGATTCTCTCTCCATTGTCTTAAGTACTAGAACTGAAATAGCAACAGTTCCTGGCAAATGGAGCCGGGAAGCCCCAATAAAAGAAGTGGCCTGTGTTCAAGTCCTTACAAATGGGTAGATGTCAACCAGGGCAAAATGGAAGAAGGGAAAAGACAAAGGCACACACTACTAAGTGAAGAGAGCTGGGTAAAGTATGGCTTGGTTCCACCGAAAACTATTTGCACTTGAGTTCATAAAAGATCAAAAGCTGCGTGTCCACGCCATCTATTCCTTACCCGGCCTGGGCAGAATTCGGGGTGAAGAGTTTGGGCTCGTCGTTTCAGGGGCTTCCAGGAAGAGGGCGCCATAAGCCCGCGAGTCCTGAGTTTGGCTTGGCTGTGGAGGCGGTGCGTCCTCGGCCCGGGGGCGGGGCCGGCGCGCTCACGTGACCCTTGCTCATGGCGGCGGCGGCAGTAGCGGCGCTGGCGGCGCTGGCGGCTCTCGGAGGCCGGAGCCGGATCCTGTAGCCGGGGTGTGGACCCGCGTCAGTCCGTCCCTCCTTCGGCCCCCTCTCTTGTCTTCCGGAGTGTGGCTGGCGGAGCTGGGATGGCGGAGCGAGGCCTGGAGCCCG